ATCGTTATTGTCTTTAAGTAAAATTAACAGAACACTATAAAAGCTCAATAAATGTCGTTGTTTATTTTATATATTAAGAGAAAAGCACTCAACATGCTTCACGATCTGGCGTACTAGATTTTAAACATACAAAGGACCGAGTGATGTCACAGAAGCTCAATGTTTTATCAAATAACATCCCTTCAATCACTTTAGCCTTTTCACCTTAACCAATGGTCAGTGACAGCCAGAAAATTGCGGAATTAATCCCGCGCTACCTTTTGATCACGTTCTATAAGACTCCGGTAGTTGCCTTACTAATGTTTTCTTTCATTTCTTTCTCTCACTTTCACAAGAAACAAAATCCCACAATTTGTGTTTGTGAGGCCATTAGTGTCTGCAGCTACATGATCATGTCTCTGCTGCTGACAAACAGAGAACACGAATAAACAGCGTAATTTGTAACGAGGAAACAATATTCCAGTGAATCAACCTGATTTTTGAAGTGTCAAAACACACTTCATAAGAAAGAATGGTATCTTGTTAGTTTAACATACTATTAAAGTAATGTTTTAAATTACATCCAGCACTGAGATAACTCTGGTGTAAAAGCAAAAGTAATCATGTTATCTTTCATATCCTTAAAAAGACTCGGTAAAAAAACAAAACAACAACTTTAAGTGAGCGTTACACTTGATTTATTAGAAAACTTCTTCTTCTTATCTTCTATTGCCTTCTTTAGCTGTTACAGTTATACAAACTTCAGAAAGATATATTGGCAAACTTTCTTCTATCAAATTAGAACATGTGCAAAACTGCTATAGTTTTTTACTGTGTTTTATAAAATAATTTTATCGGAAATGTATTATCTTAAGTCAGCTTTAAATACTATTTACAGTACACACCTCATTTCAAACGAGATTTAAAGTTTCCTCAATCGTATACTGACATACTATTCTACGAAGCTACAGATACATGACGTTTCAAATTAGGCTTATACGTACCGCTTTTCTAAGCAGAAGAATCACACACATAGAGTCTGTTTTTGCTGGTAATACCATAGGCTAACGTGGCTTCATTTCTAATGGGTGAAAAAGGGTGTATCCTCTTGTGCAAATTAAGCTTACAGCATGTGGACATGTCTCCACCCTAGGATCTTCCTGACTACGCTAAGCTTATAACATGCGACTGCCTATCCTCGTGTATTCTTCTGCCCCACGTAAAACACGTTTCTCACATTCAAGGTAATTGGTTTCTTTGCCTCTCTCTCTCTCTTTCTTTGTTTGTAACTGTAGCATATATTTAATATTTTCTTTATAATTCGTCGACGTCTTTTGCATTGAACGTGTTAATAAAAGCACAGAAACATTATAAACTAAACAATTTATGCTCATGAGAAAAGTCGCTCCAATATACTAAAGCACATGGAATCAATCTACTCCTATCTAAGATGTAAACTTTATAAACTCACTAGCGTTTCTTCTTATTCTAGTGTGTTTCAGGCACACGCCAGTAGAACTCACCTTTGAATTGTAATAAGGAATGGAAAATTAAGACAAATGACACTTAATTGACTGTATAACTGATGTGCGTTTGGTAAGTAGCGGAGGCAATGATAGAAGAGGTTTTGAGTACATGATGTGTTTCTTATGTCAACAGTATCTATTAAGCTACGGATATCCGACTCGTAGCCACATCTTCCTGATAACAGTGCTGATAAACTATTTGTTTTATCTAGGAAGATATAATCTAAACAAATTATTATTATCTTCTGTTCTCCATTTTCTTAATACTGTGTTTGGGAATGTTTTATATTTTCTTTTAAACCATTGTTTGCAAACGATGTAGGTATTCTTCTCTAAACAATTTAAGTTAAAATATTTATTTTTCAAATGACAAGCAAACAAATATACTTCTTCAAATTGTTTTGTGAGAAACATCGTTAACATCTACTAAGCAAGAACTACGTTAAACCATTTAGACATTCAAAAATTCTCCCACAAATCTTTACTACTTGTTTAGTTTCTCTGCAGAAATGGATAAGATTTGATACGACTGTACATGAGAGACAACTGAGTAACCTAGTTACCTTACAGTGCAGAGATGGATAAGACTTGATACGACTCTGCATGAGAGACAACTGAGAACAGGATCCCTCAAGAACCTATTTATCTTACAGTGTAGAGATGGATAAGACTTGATACGACTCTGGATGAGAGACAACTGAGAACAGGATCCCTCAAGAACCTATTTACCTTACATAAAACAAAGTGTTCTGTTTACTAGATAAATGATACACTCCATTCTCCTCACTAGACAGCTGTTTAACGTGTTTTCAACTATCCTCTTCAGAGAAAAATCTCGGATCAATCTTACTAGGTCGAATATTTTACCTTTAACCTTAGAAACTGAACGTAGATTATCTATTCATAGGATAACTACTTTAGCTTCAGATAGAAACTCAAATCCTAAGGATATTATTAACGTTATTATAACTTAATATCTGAATATAAAGTATGTGGTTTTTCAAGCGTAACATTTTTGTAACAAGCCTACTAATAATTATTTCAATACTTTGTTATGAGTCTATTCAGTTTAATAAATAAAAACTGCAAATTAATAGCACAAACACCATATGAGAAGGCTTGATGCTTAGATAGTTACATTGTGGTATGCCAGTAGTATAATAAATGGAATGTGTGGAAAAAATTTCTGCTTCTGGATTTTTATCACACATTTTAGTCCTATCAGTTTCTAATGCTTTACCAACTATAGACATTTAAACAGTAATTTTTAAACTATTAAATTATAATATATTTTTTTGTCTCTCATCGTCCAGTACAACTGAAAAGTTCTGTTATCGAACGAAAGGCTTTGGGGGCAGTGATTTGTAGGAGACAAAAGATAAATCTGAAATGCTATTTTAAGACGCCTCTGATTTTGAATCCGAAATGGATAAATTTAGAGTAATGCTGATGAGAAGCCAATGAAAATGGATTTCCTGTAGGATATTCCAATATATAAACTCTGATGAAACATCAAACCAACAGTGTCAACTGATACTTCAGCCCCTTCACTGTTGGTGAAGTTAAGCCTGCCCACATTGCAAATTGTAACCAATGCTATCTGAGTGAGTACACATTGTGTGCTGTGTTCCTCTCTCTTTTTTGCGGGTATTATTTTTTTGTAACTAGTCATCTTTTTTGTAAAACAATCACCAATAAAAAAGATATTTAATTGACTTGAAAGGTTCTGTGCACAAGGGAAGTCACATAAAAAAACATTACCCTTCTTAAACTAATTGATAACAAAATGGCTACGATTTTGTATATGCAACTATCGAATATGAAAGACATTCTCTTTTACGACTACTGACTTCAAGTCACTTAGAATAAATCATGTATCTTAAAAATATGAATTATCTTTGTAAAAGTGTTTATTCTTGTTTTTTGTATTATAATTAGGTAGATTAATTATTATTAAAGGGGATCTTACTATATTATAAAAGGGTTTGATTAAAAGTTATACATTAAATTATGTCTTGGGCCAGTTCTATATATATGTTTTCTATTTTTGTAAATAATTAGATTGATATATATTGATATATTTCATTTAAATGGCTGCTTCAGGTTGTTTTTTATGTAAATGTTATGAAATGCATATTTTATGCTATTCTGCTTCTATAAAGGGTTTACTGAGTTTTATAATTCTTATTTATTTATGACTGTCATTTATAATTTGTTTACTAAACCGTTGGTCTTTGTTAGAGGATGTTGTAATAATTGTATTTACGTTAACAGATTTAATTTTCGCCGTTTGAATGATGTGTTCTATTAATTTGTATTTGTGATAGCAATGTGAATGAGATTTTCTTTAAATTATGCATCATTGTTAAAGAATGTTTGTATGTGCTTGTATCACTGTTAAAAAGTTTATATTTGTACTCTCTGTATTATTTCCTTATTAAAAGGTTTTACTGTACTGTTTTTTTCTATGTTAAATGATATTTTTGCTAAGTTTAATTATGCAATAGTTTTCTTTTTTCGGGGGTTGGGATGTCTGAGTGGTATGTAAGTGTTTTTAGAGGCGAGATGGAGTTAGCACACTCCTTGACAAGCCTGAGGGGGAATGTTACAATAATACTACACGTTGTGCAAGAATGTCGTCAGTAGTGTCTTTCAGTGGTCATTCATGTGATACCTAGAGATTACAGCCTCACCTCTGTTGAAATGAGAATGACCAGTTACGTAGTAACGCCGATTACAATGGATAAATGCGACATTTCTTTTTAAGAAAGAAACGTTAGATCTAGTCTGTCTGGAATACGGTTTTGAATAGTAAACAGTTTGAAAGACAGGATTAAGCAAAAGTGACAGTCCGTTGTAACCATAAAAGCGAATACAGACACCGTGTTTGTGTTTTAGGTTTGTTATAATAAAGGTTGTTCGTTTTGTATTTCATTTTGTGTCCATTATCTTTATTTCATTCAGTATCACGACTCATTTATTTAGAGATTTGGCATTACTTTGTAACCAGTATCATGACCGTATATCCTGTTATTAAGCGGACCTATCCCTTTACTCAAAGGTTTACTCAGGTGTACCTGAATATACAACAGTTTTAATACACACAGCTCATACCTTCATTCATTTGCCGCAAAATCTAGTTAGTGAAAAATACATTGTGATACAATATATCACTGAGATGTATATAAGAAATGATTGACAAAATAATATTTTATAACTGATTCATCAGGTGGAAAATGAAGTTTTATAATAAAATATCAAAAACACAGTAATACCAAAAACATCTTTAATTACGGGCGTTTCGGAAATGCTTCAGATTCTATCATCGGCGTTAAAACTTCAAAAAGCTAGTTCACAATATTCTTACTACAAAAAACAACATTAACTATTAACGAGTAGTCTTTATATTAAATCAAAAGTTTAGAAAGAACAGACTTAAACGGTAACAATATAATGGAATTTATCTATATGATACAAATTTCTTTTCTTTCTCACCAAAGGTTAAATTGACACAGAGCCCTAATGCTTTCCTTGATTGGCCGTATCCTGTGCCGTAGACTGCAGTTTCGCCTATTCAAGGCTCATCAGCACAGCTTGGTTACTTTATTAGTGATCTAAAAGAACTTAAAAAACCCATAAATATAATGGAATGTACGGCATACACGTGTTTAATAACATTGTTAAGAAAAAACATTACAAAGAAACGGTTGAATATAAGAATGAACACTGCACTACCAAAATAATAATAAAATAAAATATTAAAAACACAGAAAACCTGGAATTGATTAAGTTAATGACAACAGTGTTATTATTTAGCGTTAGATGATCATTGAAAACGAAAAGGCATTTTTTTCATAAAGAGTTCTTAGTTAGTGGTTCCGTAGTTAAGAGTTTTAAAGTTTTCTAGAAGTATGTGGTGGTTGTTATTCTCACTGTGTAATCTGATATAAGACTTGGGTGGATTAGTTAGCTGATATCCACTTCTAGCTGAAATTTCTATGTGCTCGTGTATTTGTAGGTGACGTGTAGTTTTATCAGTATAGGTAGCTTTACACCTACCACAAGTTTATTTATGTATATGACCGACAAACGGATAGGAATGGGTAGAGTGCCTGTGGTTTTAAACATATTTTTGTTCCAAATATTGACTTAAATGCTAAATGTAGTTTAATTTGTGGGTCATATGTTTTGATTATATTTTGGATTTTGGATTTCAGTTTAAAACTTTGTTTGCCAATCAAAGGAGTGATAAGAAATAGTGAATATTTTGAGACAGTGTGTGGCTTCATGGTAGGTTCTATTTTATTTGTTTAAAATGTTTCTGTGATAGAACGTGAGAAGTTAAGGAGATTTGTTTATTTGAAATTAAACACAAAGCTACACAATGAGCTATCTATGTTCTGCCCACCACGCATATCAAAACCCGATTCCTAGCGTTGTAGGTCCGCAGACATACCGCTGTGCCAATGAGGGGCAATTAAAGAGATTAATTCGTAAGATGTTATGAATTTTTGAAAATTCTGAGTGCAGACAGAAGTATTCAGAACACGTATTATAGGCTCTGTTTAGAAGACTTATAACAAGGTTATGTTTGAAGGAGTCTGGTATGAAAGTGTTGAAACGAGTGAATAAGCCGGAAAATGTTTTCTTACGATAATTAGATGCGGCTAAGTTTTTGTTTTCTTCCATCTCATATCTAAAGCTTACACACTGATGTTGGGATTTTATGTATTCTAAAAACTTCTAGGTGCGATCAAATTCCGGTATGTGTTGCTGCATCTGTTGATTTGCCTGTCACAGCACTTAAGTCAACTACAATACCCCTATGACAGAGAAGATAATTTGCGGTAGAATAAAAGAACATTCCCAAGGAAGACTGATGCTTGTGGAAGCATCCAGGCCAGCAGACGTGAAGATTGGAAGGTCACTTCTAGCAGGTCATCAAGTAGTACCCATAACAGTGGCTAATTTCTCTAAATATGAGCAGACACTTAAGAAAGGGGCATTGTTGGGTGTGTGCCAGGAGGTAGAGCCAGTCAATGTTAAGGCAAGAAATATAACCATAAAGAAAGGACATCCACTCCCAGAACATTTAACTGACCTCTATAAGAAGAGCTAAGTCCATTTGTCATCATTACAGGCTCTTCAGGTTAGGGAACATTTGGCTAATTATGCAGACGTCTTTTCAGAAGGAGATCATGACCTCAGCTGCACAGACCTTGTAAAGCACAGAATAAACACAAGCAATCACCATCCAATAAAGATCCCTCCGAGGAGAATAGCTTCGGCAAAGCGACAAGAGATGGAGAAGGTCATGGATGGCCTAATTACGGAAAGGTTAGTTGAGAAATCAGATAGTCCCTGGTCACTATGTTAGTCCAGAAGAAGGATGGGACCCAACAATGCTGTGTGGACTTCAGCACTCTTAACAGTATAACTGAAAAGAACTCATACCCGCTGCCAAGAATTGATG